TACTCTTTGTAAGAAGTTGATGTAGTGAACCTCTCTGGAGAAGTTGAAGTAGATGTTGGTGTCGTAGGCGTCGTCTCCAGCATTAGAGATGGTTAAATTTAACGACACATTTCTCACTCCACCAAGAGCCAGATGAGAACTGATGTACCGCCTGGGAAACGAGAGAAATGAGAAAAAAGTGAGACAAGGACACCATGATGAAGAAACCTGTTGAGAATAAAGGAAACCTGGCGTTGTGTATTATGAATATTGTTAGATCTATCGATCTATCTATCTATTAAGTAAATTATCTGAATGCATTTCAGTAATGAAAATATTGCAATGCAATAAAATAAAAACTGCATTGGTCCTAAAAATAGACTTAATTTTTCTGATACAAAATACACTGTCACAGAACATGAATGCTTGTTTTGTAGTCATTACAGTAAAATGTGTTTTCAATTAGTGAAATCAGTGAAATCACCATACGCTCTTTAAACAGTGAAGGTTCAGCATTTAAGGAAACACTTTTGATTACAGAGAAACCAGATCATTCAGAACCAGACTGCAGGACCTCCTTGAGACCAGCTAATGAATGACGTCATGGGCTGGTGAGAGCCAAGTGTGTGTCCACGCCTACAGAGACTCAACCCTACTGACGTAAATCTGCTGAAACCAAGAGAGGACCAGGGGCTTTACCCAGAAAGCAGTAGTTTCCCATGAAGCCTCAGGTCAGCTGCGCAGTCCTCTGACAGACAGTTCTTCTCAAACCACGTCTGTGAAGAGTCAAACAGAGCACATGATGTTTACATCACTTCATTGTCAGAATAACCCAAGACGGGACACTAATACTAGAGGGTGGTGTTGAGCAAGATTTCACACACTCGATGGGACTTTTTCCCAATGGTCTTTAAAGCTGTAGTATTTGAGTAGCGGTTTCAAGCGTAATGCACAAGAAAGTGCTGTGTGTTTGCGTTGGACAGATTCTGACATTGACACCTTTGCTTTAGCGCTACAGACAAACTGCACGGTTACTAATAGCGTCAGATTCCATCGTAATGGATTCCTGATGCGCTGAAAGATGCCAGCGCCGAGTTTCCTCAAGCTGAGAGGGAAAAGCATGTGGCCTAACAGGAGGGTGGGTTATGAAGTGGCGTGTTGGCAAATAAATTCATCAATCTTACACATTCCACTCACAAGAGTCAACAGCCATCATTGAGTGCTAACTAAAACCACATTCATAACCGGAGAAATTGGTAATTTCTGGTATTCAGAGCTGCTGGGTGATGCCAACAGCAAATGAGTACAAGAGTCAATTAAAATAATGTACTATATAAGACCCTTGTAAAGATATTAAAATGTAAAAACAGGCAAAAAAACCTCAATAAAATTATATAAATACTCAGAAATAAATGTACAAAATCTGACACGTTTAAAAGGTAGTAATATGCGCCATTTAGGTACTAATATGTATACTTTTTCT